TTTTATGTTGCAGTTGTCGTTGTTTAGCAGGCCTGGGCTGAGTTCGAACCTGTCTCCCTCAGTGTATGTGGCTGGCGCCCTGCAGACTGAGCTATGGGCGCCGCCAAGCCAAAAAGATTTTCTGGTGGATTGAATGTATCGGGTCAGAGGAGAGATCTTTTCTTTTTTATTTATTTATTTATTTTTGAGACTGAGTCTCACTCTGCCACCCTGGGTAGATAGAGTGCTGTGGCATCATAGCTCACAGCTACCTCAAACTCTTGATCTCAAGCCATCCTCATGCCTCAGCCTCCTGAGTAGCTGGACTACAGGTGCTCACCCACAAGGCTGCCACTAATTTTTCTATTTTTAGTAGAGATGAGGTCTCACTCTTGCTCAGATTGGTTTGGAACTCCTGAGCTCAAGCAAGCCACCCAATTTGGCCTCCTGGAGTGCTAGGATTGATTACAGGTGTGAGCCACTGTGCTTGGTTGAGAAACCTATTCTTTTTTTGTAGAGACAGAGTCTCCCAACTCCTGGGCTTAGGCGATTCTCTTGCCTCAGCCTCCCTAGTAGCTGGGACTACAGGCTCCCGCCACAACGCCTGGCTATTTTTTTGTTGCAGTTTGGCCAGGGCCAGGTTTGAACCCGCCACACTCGGTATATGGGGCTGGCGCCCTACCCGCTGAGCCATAGGCACTGCCCAAGAAACCTGTTCTTAAGATAAAAATATAGAAGTTTTGTAGTCCCAGCTCCTAGAGAGGCTTAGGTAGGATAATTGCTTGAAACCAGCCTGAGCAACACAGCGAAACACTGTCTGTAAAAAAGAAAAAAAAGTGGTGTTTTCAGCAGAGGTGTATTTGTGAAAACTAAGAAACAAGTAGGATCACCAGAGGAGTGAGTGACAGTGGAGAAGGTGACTGATGACTTAGAGCATTCCAATATTGAGTGCTTAGGTGGAAAGAGGAAAAGCCAGCAAAGACTAAGTAGAGCAGCCAGTGAAGTAGGGGACACAGAGAGAGAGGTGTCCTTGCAGTCAAGTGAGGAGAGTGAATGGAGCAGGAGTTGATGTGCCACCTTATCAAGCTAAATTAGAACAAGAATTGTTTGGACTTAGTAACATTGAGATCACTAATAAACTTGAAAAAAGTAGTTTTTGGGCTGAGCACACTGACTCATGCCTGTAATCCCAGCACTCTGGGAGGCTGAGGGCGAAGGATCCCTTGAGCTCAGGAGTTCAAGACCTGGCTGAGCAAGAGCGAGATCCTGTCTCTACTACAAATAGAAAAACTAGCTGGGCATTGTGGTGGGTGCTTGTAATCCCAGTTCCTCAAGTGGCTGAGGAAGGAAGATTGCTTAAACACAGGAGTTCAAGGTTGGTATGAGCTATGACGATACCACTGCACTGGGGAGAAAAAAACTGACTTAAGAAAGAAAAAAGTGGTTTTGATGGAGCTGTGGGAGTGAAAATCTTATTGGGGTGAGATTATGTGACAGGATGTAAAGAGATGAATTGGAGACGGCAAGGATGGACAGACAGCTCTGTCATAAATTTAGCTCCAAAGGAAGCATGGAGCCCATTGCGGGGGCTTATGCCTATAATCCTAGCACTCTGGGAGGCTGAGGCAGGAGGATCGCTTGGGGTCTGGAGTTTGAGACCAACTTGGGCAAAATATCGAGATCCTGTCTCTACAAAAAATAAAAGTTAGTGGAGTGTGGTGGCACATACCTGTAGTCTCAGTTACTCAGGAGGTTGAGGCAGGTGGATTGCGAGAGCCTAGGAGATTGCAGTGAGCTATGATCATGTCTGTACTCTAGCTTGAGTGACAAGAGTGAGACCTTGTCAGAAACAAACAAAACTAAAGGGGAGCATTAGGGCTGTGGAAGAAAGGAAAAGAGAAGTGGCTTTTTTTGTTGTTTTATTTTTTTTTTTTTTACATGTTTAAATGCTGATGGGAGTGATCCAGTAGAGAGGGAAACAGTGATGATGAGTGAGTCTTAGCAGAATTTGGGAGCTAATGGGGACAGACTGAGTAAAATGGAATGAAAGTTGGATTTGCTCATTAAGTAGGTATTTATTGAGTGCCTTTTACATAGCAGATGACATACAGACCTCTGCCGCCTTTAATTTTAGTGAGCAATGCTCTAACTCTCTGATCTCTTCTTGTGCAGTTTTGATGGTGACGACTTTGATGATGTGGAGGAGGATGAAGGGCTAGATGACTTGGAGAATGCTGAGGAGGTCAGTATTCCCCCTTGGGTCCCACCTCTGCAGCCCAGGCTATCACATAGCCCTGCAGGTGATAATTACCTGAATGTATCTGCCTCCTGTTCGTGGCCAGAGCCCCTGCCATAAGCGTCCCCAATTAGAGTGAGCAGGGTTCCAGTCCTGGTAGTGGAGTAGCCCTGCATAGGGTGCACCTGAAGGCTTCTGTCCACTTGGTCCACAGCCTGTGGCTTCAGGAGCAGTAGTTTACAGACAGGTGAAACGTCTCACCAGCAGGTCTCCTTCATTCAGCGTGCATGTGCTCAAGGTTTATTATGTGCCAGGTGCTCTGCAGGGTGGGACTCCTTGGAGAGCAAAGGAAAGAGTGGCTTGGGATCAAGCTGGACAGGTAAGCAGGGCCCAGATCAGGCAGGATTCTGTAAAGGGAAGCCACTGACAAGTTTAGAGCCAAGGAGTGGCATGTTCCAGTATACTTTTCAGAAAATGTATTGTAGCCTCAAAAGTGAGGAGGGAATTGGAGAGGGGCAGGAGTGAATGAAAGAGACCAATTAGGGAACTCTCTCTGCCTTTCAGGGGAGAGACCCAGGGCTTGGAAGTAGGGGCTGATAGTGTAGGTCATGAGAAGATGAATGAAAGAGGTGTTTTGGTGAATTAGATATGGCGCTAAGGTAGGAGATGACAAGGATGACTCAGATTTCTGGCTTGAGCAACTTAAGTGGATGGGTTGCTAGCTTCAGTAATAAAGTAGGACTTTCTGTCCTGTGTGACTGATGGAGGGAGAAATGCTATGTCTCCTAGAGAAAGAGGGGGGTCCCTCTTTTTTTTTCTAGGCTAAGAAGGTGAAACTTCATTAAGAATTTCTTCCCTCTTCATAGGACTTTGTGATACCTGTTCACTTGGGCAAAAGCTTCCTCCATCCTTATGGTCTCTTCCCATCCTTGTCCTGCTGATTCTGCCTCCTAGATAACAGCTCAGCTCTGTCTCTTTTTCTCTACTCCTCATTTCTCACTCTAGCTTAGAAATTGGTTTTTCACATTCCTGCTGAAATTGTGTGAGTAGTTTTCCTATCTTCAGTGTCACTCCAGACTCTGCTGTGTGCAATTCTTTCAAGAGTCCTATTTCTTTTTCCCTCTTTTCTTCTTCTTCCTCTTCCTCTTATTCCCCTTCCCTTCTCCTTTCCCTCCCCTCCTCTTCCCTCCCCTTTCCTCCTCTCCCTTCCTCTTCCTTTCCCTGTACCCTCCCTATACTCTTCCCTTTCCCTTT